AAAATAATAGTAATAATAATAATAATAAAAAAAAAAATTATACTAAAAATACGTACACCACACGATGACACCTATATGAACTATTTAATAGCTACAGACATTTAAACGCACGTGCTTCATACTTGTATTATAAAATTAAAAGGACTTTGGAATGGTTTTGCGCTCCGTATATAAATGTACGACTGTGTACACTGCTATAATACCCATAAGTCGTAATTTCCTCGAAAGTGTCCACGGGAGGGGGTGATAATATTTCACGCCCGCGCGAGCATTTAATTACTCGTTGCTCGTTCCTTGGCGCCGGCAGCGAGTAACGTGACCTGGGAACAAAAGAAACGAAAGAAAGTGATAAAAAACCAAATGAAAACCTATAATAATTATACGGCGCGTACGAACGAAAAAAGAAAAAAAAAAAAAAAAAAAAAAAAAAAAAAAAAAACTCCTTGCCATACACAAACGCACCTTCTCAGTTTCGCTCCCGACAACCGTAGCGAGTACCATAGTCGAGTCGCCGTCGGCAGCGGCTACGCTACCATCGCAGGTCCGTTGGCCCTTGGCAGCCTCGGCGTCCTGGGCTTTGTCGGCGAAAGCCCGGCTCGTGGCCGCACGCCCGGCCCCGCTGATCCTAGGCGAGCCGCCCTTGACCTTGAGAATCGGCAAATTGCGGGCGAAAAAATCGGCGTAGAAGATGAGCTGGACGATGCCGCAGGCGACGTCTATGTTGACGAGTTTTCGTGTCTTTGCGTAATCGTAGAGCCAATGCATGACGTAGCAGCCCTCGTACAGGCCCAAACAGGCCACGTACGACACGACGATGGACTCGATCTGTTTGGTCTTCGAGGCGAGGTACACCTGGGGCACGATGGCCACTGCCTCGAGGTAAGCGCTGAAGGCCCGCAAAACCTCGAAACTCTCGAACTGGTTGTTCAGAAAGAGCGCCAGCACCGCGCTCGGCAGGACCAACAGCTCGATCCTGCATTAGCGAACCCAACGAAACAACGCAATGACAATTACTCTTGCACGTCTCGGTAATAATAATAATAATAATAATAATAATAATCAATGAATATTCGAGTCGTGCAATTATATAGTACATAATGTATACGTATATTGCATTGAGGAGTAAATAGGTGATGTGTACGTCTTTTGTTGAGCGAGAGACAATTAAATTGTTTATATATACGTTACCTGAAGGCGTCGCGCTTGCGATCGTAGCTCCCCCTGAACAAAAGGAATATCGATGCGACGATGCAGTACGTGATAAGAGTGAATATTATCCTAAGTATGGTGTCGTATACCGTGACATGTTCGGCCGTCAAGTCGAGATAGCGCGTCGTGAGAACCAACGCGTGCAACAGCTGCGTTTTTCCGCTTATTCCTGCGCACATGGACCCCGAGATGGGGATAATTTACGTAACAGAGATAATATAAAGGGTCAAATGTGATACATGTTATATAAATTATATGAAACATGTGTATACATTGTGTCCAAAGGCGAGTCTTATCGGAAAATTTATTTTGTATTTTGTATTTTTTTTTTNTTTTTCAAAATTTTCATAATTAAAATAAAAAACAATTTTACTACTGTATTAATACAATAATTAAAATCTATGTTTGATAAACGTCCTGAAAGGACATTCACTGGCATGTATACTACTATGCTATTGAAGAAAGCGGTACTACAGGATGGTTTGTCTTAATTTTTGAGATACAATTGTATTTTGGGTATTAAATACTGTTTTTAAATTGTATTGTGCCATAATACGTTGCTTATAATTTTTCAGTTATTAAATATTAAAATATTCATTGAAACCACAACCAATAAACGTATATAAACTCATTCCACTGATAATTTCGGCACCTTTGTATATACCCAATACATGCGGTTTCGTAGAAGGTATATATTTATATTCATGTAATTATCTGCCGTATGATTTTATAGAAGTAGGTATAACTTCTTACTTGGGTACCCAAGCACCCACTATCCACTGGTTTATTACGAGCGCAAATCTTACGAATTTTCGAATGCCGACTATCCGATTCCTTGAAATTTCTAGTTTTCAAGATCTGACATCATTTATAGATGAAATAACACTTTCAAAGGTTGAACACATGTCTCACTCGTTTCACGTCTGGCGTATTAATTGCCTATGGTTTCGGGGAGATCGTGGGAGATGTGTGATAAAAAGATTGTATTATCTTATCTCAGTTGGTTAAAATAAAAGTGAACTTGGAGCTTGGGATTGTTGTTTGGAAAATGCGAAACAAAGTACGATTGTTCGCGCTCGAATTATAATAACGTATCACCGATTTTCCCGGAATGCCAAACCATTGTAACAATAATTTTAATTTAATTTTAAAAAGCAACAATAAATTGTAAATGTTACTTACCCGTACAATCGGCAGTACATATGATTTTCAAAAAGAGGACAGTAATAGCGACGAATTGCAACAAAATTCCAATATTTTGATAATCGTTCATATTTTCTTGCAATTGTTTTCGACAATAATCGAAATTACATATAAATTGAAATTCAATACAACGAAAGAATGATTAGCGATATGCAAAGTAAGTATACATGCCCGAGCATGGTAGCCAACAACAATGCGCGATCGGCTCGACTAGCAGCTCGATCTGTCTTCTTCTCTCTCTCTCTCTCTCTCTAAAAAAGTTATAAGTATATATATATATGTGTGTATCCGCAGTACAACACGGTACTCGGTGTAGTGATAAGTAAGTACAAGTACAGCAAGACCTCGCTCAAGGATTATCCAATCAGTACGGCGCATCTACCGCGCAGAATCCATCTATCAGTACAGTCTCTCCCGGCTATACGTAATTGAGCAATCAAGTGCTCCTCCGCAAATTTCATTCAATGGACGAAACTTTGTAATGAATCATGAACTTTTTTTCGACTAAATATAGCATTGCCGAGTGACACTTACACTGCTGTATCGTTCAACAACTCCCCGTGAACAATTAAACAAAGTAAAAAATTACCTCGTTCAATTCTCATTTTTGTGCACAATCGACTCGGTCTCCCAAAAATCGTAGGCTCATCGCATTAGCTTGTAAATCATGAAAAATGTTATGATGAGTAGGTTTTGTAAATTAATAAATGAAATTTACATTCCGAACTTGAATTAATGTTACAAAAAATTTTAACTGATAAATAATTTCAAACAATGAATGTACGTACTTTTATAAACAATTTAATACAAAAATTAATCAAATTACATGTAAATAAAAAGATCTGACATCCATTGAAATGTTTAATCTAGAGTAGATTAATCAAAAGTTGATAAGGTACTCTTATTCTTTTAAGAGGTTTTCCTGTAAAAAAAAAAAAAAAAAAAAAAAAAAAGTAAAATTATGTAGTTGCATGGTACGAAAAAAATTTATTAAAAAAATCACAGAGTTGCAAGAATATGAAACAAACCTTGTCACAGTCCAAAGTAGCCAAAATTGCCGGAGTCAGAACGATTGTACTTATATTGGAACTCAAATGACCGCTATTTGACATATCACCGTTTTCCACGTTAGCTACGTTCTTGTCATCGTTGTCGTAGTCATTCGAATTATCATCGACTATAACTCTTTCTCCTAGAGATTCCCATAGACTCAGTTTGGGAATTACTCTAATAAAAAAGTCACAATAAAGCATCAACTGTATGACCCCGCTAGCTTGAGTGTAGCGGTCGTATTGGTTACGTTCGTAATAGCGATATATCCAGTGAACAATGTAGAGCGCCTTGTAAGTGGCAAGGGCCATAATGTAGTAAAGCATGTGCTTGTGAATGTATTTAGCTTTGGCGATAAAATGAAACTGCGGTACCATTGCCACTGCCTCAAGATACATACTGAATTGCCAAAGGACCTCCATAGTTTCAAATTCGTAGTTGACTAGCATCGCCATCGCAAGGCATGGGATTATAAGTCGTTCAATCCTGTGAGTTAACCAAAATTTGTATTTTAATTTCAATTACTAATGTAATTTCTTAATAGATAAAAACCTTTAAAAAATAAATAAATTACTTGTACGTAAACGTAAAAGTAAAAAAATTGTTTGCACATTTTTGATGATACTATAAAACTTTGAATCCTCACCTAAAGGTGTCATATTCATGCTCGTAAGTTTTTCTGAAGAATAGAAATATTGTCAGTAATGTGCAGTATCCAAGAATAATATATAATACTTTTAGAATCGTGTTCTCTATCGATATGAATACAGTGAATAGGTCCAAATATCTCGTTGCATAAACCATCATGTACAAGAATTGAGCTTNAAAATAAAAAAAAAAATTATCTGGTTTAAAAAGTATTTTAAAAATATAATTTTTTCTTAACGACAGAACACACTGGCACATATGTATATATATTTGTTTTGTACGGCGTACAAATTATATTCTTTATCTCTGTACATGCGAGAAAGTAACTATATATTTCTCTTAGTCGTAACTATGTTCTTAGTAAATGTACGGATGTCAAAAAACTACTCTTTCAGATAAATCTTTACACAAAACTCAACGACTTGCAATGCAAAATGCGATTATCATCTTTTTTTTTAGTTTTTCATCTCATAGCAAAAAGCATTGCGAGGAAGCCTTGGATGTTTGTGTCAAACGTTGAACGTACTCGTGGTAACGAAAAAAAAAAAAAAAAAAAAGAAAAAAAAAATCAATCCTCCAGCAAAGGTTCGATTTTCTTGGCGTCTTCGGTGCCGTTGGCCTGGACGATCGTCAAAACATCTGGCTGAATGATGATTTGACTCTCGAGGTTCACGTATTGGGTTTTGAATATAACTATCATCCAAACGAAGTAGCTGCAGTAGATGACGAATTGGACTATTCCGGTAGCGACGACGACGTAATTACCGATGTGCTCCAATGCCAAAAACTGATAGGCCCACTGGGCCACGTAGAAGGTGCGAAAGCAAGCGAGTAGGCCGACGTAAAACAGCAGCGAACTGCCGACGTAGCGGGAGCGTATTGTAAATTGAATTTGGGGAAAAATGGCGAAGGTTTCGAGAAATACACTCGTGTACCACAGCACCTCAAGGGGTTCCCATTTTTTGTAAGAGGCCAGCAGAGCCAACACTATTGATACGCCAATCAGCAGCTCGAACCTGTGAAAACGTTCGAGGTTATTAATAATGCGTACGTTTAATCGTTTCTATTATAATCATAATTAACGTGCCTGTAGTGCCGCGAGTGATAACACATGAACGAGCGATTGTTTGTTTACCTGAACGTGTCGTACTCTTGATTGTAACTTTTTTTAAAAATCACCACGATGGAGGTGACGGTGAGATATATGACGAACAAATAAATGATCTTGATAACGAACGACAGTAAGGAAACTTGCAACTCGAGCGGCAAATCGAGGTATCTCATAGTAAATACCAAAGCAAAGAGTATTTGAGTTTTTCCACTGATGCCTGCGAAAAAAAATCACCCAGTTTGCGTATATCGTATCGTCATTATGTCGATTTCGATTGATTTATTGATGTACGAGTCTGGCATGGGCTTACTTTTTTAATTAAAACGATTTGTATTATAAAATTTAATAAAATCTCAACTCTAATGATCTATTGTGTAGTTTAATGGCCGAAATAATTTTACGGTAAGCGTAATCTTCGGTTGCTGACTTTTCTGTAGCCATTTTCAATCGCTAGCTAAAATTCAATTATCTTTGAAATATAGAAAAAATATTTGTGATTATTAGTATTGATTACAATTTATATATGGACATAAAACTAATACTGCATGGGGGCACTCTGAATGGCTCAACCAAATTTTCGCACTGTTCTTCTTTTCGCTTTCGTAGGTAAATGTAGAAATTTGATTTTAGGAAAATCAAAAAACTACTGCGGTGTGTACGAAACACCCTGCAATTTTCCAATTTCGTGTAATTTTATTCTCACACGGGATACACGTTTTCTCACTTCAGAGAGTGTTGTATGAATGTAATAAAAAATTATTTAATAACAAATTATTATTTTATCTATAAAATATAAAGCTTGCTAAGTTGGTCTTCGGTTATCACATTTAATGTGCATTATGACGAGGAAATTCTTTACCGTAAAATCATTGTAAACATATTTATCTTTTATAACAATTCCATGAGTAAGCTCGAACATGTATTTTGCATTAACTTTACTTTTTTATTCCTTTGTTATACGTACAAGCATTACAGCTATTTTTGAGATGGCCCAACCTCACTCGATTTGAATTGTAAATAGCTAGAAATAATATTTATATTGACAATGCTATGAGAAAGTAATGAATTTTACTTGGAAGCAAGCAATTTATTCAAGTAACAACCATGAAAACTTATTGTTGTACTAGAAAGTAAAAATTTCCAAAAATAATTTTTTTACTTCTCTCAGATGTATATTGACAGTTCGTCTCGGGGGTTTTTTAGGTTTTACATACTGTGTTAGCCTTCACGTGAGAACATCGATTGCGTTTAAATTCTTAAGAGCTATAATTTGTACATACATATTATTTACTCTGGCGAATATGTAATATTTATGTGCTCTATATTAATATAGCACATAAATACCAAGCCGCAGAGAAATTCCTGAAACTTGATATCATGGGAGAAAAATTTATTTTAAAGCGTCGAAATCGCTACAACACGAGTAAAATAATTTTATCTCTGTGCCATGGATTTAGGAAATTAATTGGTGATAGTTTTATCATCTAAAAAAAGCAGAAATAATAGTTTCATTTGTACTTAAAACGACAATTTATTATTAATTATATTTAAAATTATACAAAATACTAATTGCTATCGTTCTTTGTATTCATTACGTAAAATATTATTAAACACAGTTTTCTGTTTATCTTTACCTAATTAAAGCTTTAAGAAGATTTTGTTACGTAGGGAAGATATTTGCATATCGTACGTTACAGTTTAAAAATTTTTGTACATTTTAAAATAAGAATTATTTTGTCCAATAGTGCTACAGTACAGAAAGCAATAATATACACTACTATATCAAATACGTATTTAGTAAATAAAATTTTTTTAACAGCTATTGAAAGACTTGGCAAATTTTAATTCCTGACGCAATGCTTGATTTTTTAGTAAGAATTATCATAGTTAAATGAATGTAAAAGTTTTTAAAAATAGTGATTGACAGTACAGAAAAAAAAATTAATGTTTATTTATTAAAGGTATTGCTGAAGCATACAGGAAACCGCAAATGTTTTCTATACAAAGGTTTAAATTTTTACTACAATACATACGGATTGTAAATAGCTAAAAATAATATTTATGTTTATTATTGAAGGAAATAGTTATGAATATTATTTGTTGTAAATAATGTATTAAACTAAAAATAGTTAAGACTTACTACTGCACTCGAAATTAAAATTTTTTTATGACCAATATTGTAATTACTTACGTGCGGGAAACAAATTACGCTAATCATAAAAATCTCTACACACTGTTTTATTATTTGGTTCAACTGTGATCTTGGCGGCCACATTCCAACCAACTCCAACAAATCCTTATGAAACTTGAAGTACTTATGAATTTTCACTTTTTTTACTTCTCTCAGATCCATATTGACAGTTCGTCTCGGGAGTTTTTTTAGGTTTTACATATACTGTGTCAGCCTTCACGTAAGAACATCGATTGCGTTAAAATTCTTGGGAGCTATAATTTGCACATGCGTATTATTTACTCTGGCACGTATCTAATATTTATGTGCTCTATAGAAATGGTTCAAGCTGCAGAGAGATTCCTAAAACTTGATACCTTGGGACGAAAATTTCTTGGAAAACGTTAAAACTAATGCAACACAATTCAAATTCTGTTTTTTTTTTTTTTTTTTTTTTTTTTTTTTTTTACTTCGGTCAGCGGAAGAAAAAAAAATGGACATTCACCCTTGGGCTCTACGTATAGATAATAATGGCTCTTTCGTGCATTTCTGTGGGAGTGCACGCGCGTGTGTGTCTCCACATATTATTAAGATGTGATGCGTGGATCGGCTTTTTAAGTGCACGATGATAATTCGCGTCGTGCTTTTACATAACGGGTATTTACTATACACCATGTACGCGTACGGGGATTACACATGATTGGTTTTAATTAACGCCGAGAACAGCGATTCCTATTTTCATGGCCGGTACGATTTTCACGAATATCCAAGGCCTCGGTGAACAAAAAAAAAGACTCCTTTGAATAATACGACTTTGTATTACTCGGTAATTTACATACATATTATTACCATTACGGCTTGTTGTATCACAAAATCCATTTGCTTACGGTGAATCGTGGCGAGAGATTGTAATTTTTCATTAACTTTTATCGAGGGTAAACAAATGTTGGCTCATCCGAGTCGACAAATTGCGTATACCGGACAACGGAAGACCGGATTTTCTCAAGATGTGTAACAATAGCACTTTTATCTTGACGTTTAAAATATAAATCATTATTTACGCTAACACTTTTATTACTCGGTCGTTAAAAAAAAAATTAATAAATACTTTGAAAAACAGAAGGATAAACATATAGTTGCATAAAATAGTTTAGCGCGACGGTAAAGTATAAAAATAATGTGTGAAATGTGAAAACGAATAAAAAAAAATAACAAAGATGATGCTACGGTTTTTCTCACCATGTATAGCTAATTTCAATTTGGTTTTTTAAACTTGAGATATTTCTTTAAATTGTTAACCTTTGTTTTTTTTTTTTTTATATACGCGTTTTTTGTGTTATTTCTCGTAAGCCATAAACGTGTGGAACGAGAACACTATACAATATATGACTCACGCTACATACGACCGGCTAATAACGTTACGCGCCTACGTGTTTATCGATCGGGCGCGTAAGACAAGATTTTCTTAGCCCAGATTTTTCCGAATCATTTTATTTTATCGTAAAAGTTTTTTAATTAACTAGAAAAAGTGACACTTTTGAAATCTTTTTTTTTTATCTCGCGAGTCTATCAGTGGGCTTGATGAATAATTGTTTTTTTTTTTGTTTTAAATAATGACTTCAATGATAACTGAAAATGTGTGTTATTTCTGTCGGAAGATAAGAAACGAGTCCTGAAAACTTTCGAGTTCCCAATTGTTGAAAAACTCGTATTTGAAAGTTTCAGAAGAAGTGATTGAATCATGGCTTTACAATTAAAAAAATCACTTTAGTACTATCAAGTATTTGTTATACACACATCCGAAAAGAGTAAACGTGATTATAAATAATTAAATATTCATGCATGCACTTATTTGAAAGTCTCGCGTCCAAACGAAAATTCTTATCATAATATTCCTAATCGATTTCACTTTTTTGTCATATGTTTAATAATTAAAAAAATAAATTAAAGGTGACGTATTCATTGATTTTTAAATGAGCAAATGAAAATCGATCGAGTTCCGGATCGCACACAGAAAAACCTATCTGTTGATGTAGATACGTGTTAATCAAAAGCTTTCAACCATCAGCATCTTTTAAGACTCAAAACTATATATACTTTGGTGATTTTATTTTTCTTGTCAGTGGAAAAAAAAAAATGTCAATGCTCAGCGTTGCGTTAATAAAAATTCGATCCAACAATGCTCCGATCGTATAGACGTACGCCATCTCCGGCTCCCGTGATGGAGCGTGCCATTGCGTGTGCATCCGTCAGAAACAATAATCGTCAAGCTCGTGTGTAAATTTGCACGCGTGTTTAGGAACAAAATATCAGCTCAAAACAAAACGAAGTTTACGTGTATTTTTTATGAAAATAACCCACCTTTACGTGGGTGTACGGGAAAACTTACCGGCACAATTTTTGGTCAGCAAAAGCTTCAACAGCAATATCACGCCGCCGAGCAGGTGAAGATAGTCGCCGAAAAGCTGGAGCATGTCCATCTTGATCGGTTTGTCCTTTATCGAAAAAAACAAAAAAAAACAATTAAACTATTGCAAGTTGATGTATGGGTATACCTAATACACCCCGTTACAGACTGATCGATTAATTATTATTGATGAACATATTACACGTACATGTGCATTAATTGATAATAGTTATGAAAAAAGGGCGTGGAACCGCTGATGGTTATATGGTGATCACTACTTGTCGCTATACGCGTGTGTGTATACTATATATAATTGTATAAGTTGTTACACGCGAGCGACGCGACATGCACATTGCACACGATTGCAAGCGAATGAACACAAAACGAGAGAGTACTATTTGGTTACACGTATATGACACGCAGCGCACACCCACACGTGTACAAGACATATTATATATAGGTATATATTATATTACGCGCACAAGGGGGGGATGTGATGATAATATAATGGGGAGAAAAAGAGGGAGACGTACGGTGTTTGTGCAATATATATGTTGTGTGTACTTACGTATATAGCGCGGATACATACAGATGCAATCTGACGTACCTTACCCACCGTCTCCTTTTACGAGTAGATTTGCCAAGCAGCTCTGTCCTGATGCACGTGCTGCATGTACGTTATACCTATTTCCGTAAATTTTTTTTTTTTTTTTTTTTTACCAAAGTAGCAAAATATATATAGTTTGTGAAAATACAAAAGAAAACAAACGCTTGCAGATGAGCGTGGGCGTCAAGAGATTGAAAGTCGTTTTTGCACGCCCGCTTTTTTTTTTTTTTTTTTACACGCATGGGTTTGGATCCGAGTTATGATATTATTGTTTGACAGTAAGAGTCGAACTGATGGTGACGATTTATTTGATTTTTTTTTCTCCCCACTTTTATTTAAACAAGCCGATCTTTCACTTTGGGCTTTATATTTCGGAGCACGTATATGCTGTCATATTCTCTAGTTGGTAGTTTGGCCCAAAAAAAAAAAAAAAAAAAAACGTTTGAAAAATCGGAAAAAAGATCGACGATGGACACAGCAAGTCGCGCACTTGATCGTCACCGGCGACACATGATAAGAGCGTCTGATCGTGGTGACGCACACCTCGGCACTGCTGTATAGTATAAAAAAAACTTCCTTCGAAGCGAGGGCTATGCGAGCACTGGTAACTTCGGGCTGTTCCCCAGCACACATTTTTTTTCTTCCCTTCTCTCTGTTCTCTTATTCTTTCATCATGTATGTATCGTGCATGTATATATACACGAGAGCTGAATATGTTAGTGTACCACAGAGATGTGAGTGTTGTACACAGACATACAGACTTTGTAGTAGAGGCTACAAGTACTTGCATACGAATATTTTTATATATATATACGCCTCACCCCGATTCTTTTGACGCATACGTGCGTGCATTATTTCGGGTGTTTGTGGCTTACTCCATTTTGATAAATATATTCAGCGTATCCAAGATGAAATTTGATTAATATGCGTACTTGAGCAACGATTGGTTCAATCAAATCTAAAATACTTTAAGGGTTTCCAACGACAAATAAAAGTATTTCTTGATTGTCATCGGAGTCGTAGGTGCAAGCGTTAACTGGATTTTTTTTTTTCGTCAGATGTTTATTTCTTTAATGCTTACCCACGACCGTCAATGCAATACCTTTAATTTTCAATCTTCGATATAAAATATCTTGCCCTTAATTTTTTAATGGGAAAGTAAAATATAAAAAAATGTTTCAGTTCTAGAGTTTCAGCTCGTTTTTCGGTTAAACCAGCTCAATTGGTCTAATTAATGTGTCTTCTTTTCTGTTTTGGCACAAGGTATCATATACCAAAGTTTCATTAAAAACTATGATCTTAAAATAAAAGGTATATTACTAGAATTACAAATTTAACTAATAGTGTTAAATTTACTTAGATGTCTTTTCATACACGTATACTTTCTTAGTAATGAAAAATCTTAGTTATTTTTTTTAATTGCTATAATTATAGCTGATTTTTTAAGATTTCAAAACATTTTTCATCTCAATTGAACTCTTCGCTTTTAATTATAACTGTCGAAACTGAATACAATAAACCGTCCATTATGAAAAATATGGTGCTCGTAAACTTTTAATTGTGCATAATTTGCATGCGTAATATTTCATAGACATACGTTCTAATTCTTGGAACCTCTAGAAAAAGTTATAAAAAACAAAACTTTGGTTGGTATGATTACTATTATTTTTTTTTACTCTTGAAACAAAGTTGTACTTCTACCGAATCATACTTGATATAATATATCCTACTCAACTGCAGTAGAATGATAACCTCCTTTAATGATGTCAAAAACAATTTGAAGAACATTAATTGTATACTTTGTTCCTAAATAAGATAATTTCCCATTACAAAATTCATATTTATTCATACTTAAAAACAAACGTAAATTTTTTTTAATTTCAGAATTTTACGTAAAATCATTATCAACAAATGTTTTCCGAAAATTATTGTTACGAGGGTTAAAAATAAACTGCCAATGAACTAACTTTTTTACTGCAAAATTATTTCAATTGATAAATATGGAAAATTGGTTGCGTTAATCCTAAAAATGAAGCCAAACAATAAATCAGGATTGTCTTCTGTATCAAATAGGTTATTTATGGAATTGGTAGTAAATGTTTTTCGTTGCAGGTTTTTATTAAATTTATTTTTCCGCCCTCGGGTGGTTTTGGGAGGCTGGTACTTCCTCGGGCGAAAAAACAGTTTTCCGCCCTCGGGTGGTTTTGGGAGGCTGGTACTTCCTCGGGCGAAAAAGCAGTTTTCCGGAACTCGTTCGGCTCGGGCCGCAAACGTCTCGGTTCGCAAACAAAGACTTTTCAAACTCGTAGGAAAACTACCATTTTATGACATGCAAATTAACACTGTTTATTTATAATACTTCTAAAAAGACAATGGTTGGTATTAATCTCCAAAAGAAGATATAACCGTGACATAAGATAGTGTTGTTTTGATAATCTAAAAGAAAAATCGTGTTTTTTTTTGTTTGTACAATCACCATATTTTAACGTATAGTTTGCTTCATAACAAACGAATACTTACGACTCCAAAATTGTAAAAATTCATCTCGTAAAAATTTCCAGCCAATAAACTTGTTGGTTTTATACAACGCATCATCATTATTCTCAATAAAACTTTGGCTTTTTCAGGTATTTCGTACCACTCGTTCATGTACCTAACAACAAATATTGTCATGTATAATATTAAATAATATAGGTGAAATTATACATCACGTATCTAGGAAGAAAAAGTAGCCTTTGGCTTTAATGCCAATAAACGTTTTGCTTTTCCTTCCTTGCAGCGCATACGATGTTTTACCATCCATCAGCTACAAAGTGGTTTTTTTATTTATCACTTTAAGCTTAGAATGGTAAAAAAATTATTTTGGTATAGGTGGAAAAGTACGTAGATGTGTATAAATCGTTGCTTTCGTTTGTCAACATTTGAGCCTGCCAGCTAAGGTTAAATAGGTAAAAGGCATTGCCGAACAGGATTAAAATCATCCTAAGGAGATTGACCATGTCACCTTCTACGTATTGCATAATCTAAAAAGTAATAATCTTTTATTAAAAAAATAATGTTTATAATAGTAAAAAAAATTTTTTTTTATTCAACATACTGTAACTGAACCGAAGCTANAGTGTTTTTTTAATAAAAACGTTGATGTATAATTATTTTATTTATTCATAATTATTTAATTACATAGAGTTTACAAAAATTTTATCTTTTTTTTGAACTCTGACATGCATAAAATATTACTAAAGTCTAGTTTCTCAAAGTAGAATAGAAATTGTGGTTTTTAAAAACAAAGTTCAACTTAATTAACTACCTAACCACGGAAAACTAGGACACACCGTGCATACATAGTTTCCGGTAATTTTTCATGATTATTTTTGTACTTAGCCATAATTAATGAAGTTGTAAATAACTAATTTTCACCGGTTGGAGATGACGTTAAACAATAAAATATGAATGATGTAAAAAATGCCGAAATTTTTGGAGGAATTGAAAAAAATATTCTTGTGTAATATTTTTAATGTACACCCGTTTAAATATGTATATGTATATACTATGTATGATGTGCTTCGTGCGATCTACATAATTATGACTATTAAATTATCACATACGTAGACTTTTTCTCATCTTATTATTAAAAGGCATACCAAATTATAAAAAAAAATGTTTTTGCAAATATTTTGATTTCATTTTATTTTAAAGCCAAATACAGTTTTTTGTCTAGTTCGCTTTTAAAGAATGATACAAACATTTTGAACATTGTTCCTCTCGTTCATTTTAATATTATGTAGCATCAATTAAATACATTTGATTTTTGGAAAATCTTCCCGAACTAACCACGTAATGTGCCTCAACCAATAAAAAAACGCATCAAAAGCTTCAGTCACGCGATAATCAATCTTTGACGATATGATAAGAAAACAGATTATAGATATGATGTACAAAACGCCAGATAAGTTGAACTATCTGCACCACAGACATACAAATGAACATAGATCGACTTGTTGAATCTCGTAAATTGACGCGATTTCAAAACTTCGGAAAATCGAACATTGGAATGATAAAAATGGTTTTCGTAAACTGTGAAAGATAAAAAAAAAAACACTGGGCACATCGAACTAAAGTATAAGATTTATACGAGAAAAATCCTTATCATGGCGTATGTACCTGCACAATTTCGGGTGGACCAGATCTTCACAAGTAGAGCAATGGCTGCCAATATGTGTAAATAATTTGCAACATTGTGTATTTCATCGGGCATGATTGTGACAACGTTTAAAGAAGTAGTCGTTTAAAAAATGTACTTTCACGCTACACGTGACACACTGGTGCTGACTGGCCCGAGTCTAAGTATCTACTGCCTGTCACTAAAGCTTTTCACGCGGCCAACGGACGTAGGTGGGTGTATACATCCGACTTTGCCAACTGCACTGCATATACTGGAAACGTTTTTAAAATAGTTAGTACTGTCTATCGGCTAGATCTTTCAATTAATTAGTGGTAATTTTTCTTTTCATGTCGTAACTTTTTTTTTTTTTTTTTCATCTCAATTAGTTTGATGCCTGTAAGGAACAAAATATTTTTCACAATGTTTCATGTATAACAATATCAGAT